TCCGCCGCCCGGCCCTGCGGCGATCCGGGCCAGTTCTCCCCGCTGCCCGCTGGGCAGCGCCCGGTTCGCTCCCGCCCGCGTACCAGATCCCTGCGGAGCGCGGGCGGCGGGCGTGTGCACGGCATTTTATTAATTAGGAAGGGCGAAGTGGGAGCGCGCAGGACCCCCTTCACTCCGCATAGGTAGCGTCATCGTTGCTGTCGCTGTAGGCGGAGGAGGAGAGCTCCTCCCGGGGTGTGCAGACCGGGCAGCGCTGCCGCATGTCGTCCCAGCAAGACCGGCAGTACACAGCCTCGCAGTCCGGAGTCGGGCACACGTAGGACTCGGGCGTCTCCGGGGCCTGGCACACCACACAGCGCCGGCGCAGCCAGGGGCGCAGGAAGGGGCAGCGGCGGTGCAGGATGTCCGCCAGGTCGTGGCGCTGTTGGGAAGCAAGGAGGGTGTAGAGCTAGAGAGGGAGCGAGGTGGGGAAAGGGCGGAGGGGAACCGGCCAGCGCTTCTTGTCGGAAGTCTGGAGGCATGACAGTGCCCACGAGCTGGAGGAAACTGGAGGGCAAGGGTGCTAGGGAGGCGGGTCCTAGAGAGCTGCCCTCCCGCACTCCATGATGGAGAGTGGGAGGGTCCGGCTGGTGGGACTCAGTGCTTGAGCGTTGACCAATGAACCAGGTGGTCATGGTTGGATTCCCGGTCAAGGACACATGCCCGGGTTGCGGGCTCAATCCCCAATGAGAGGCGTGTGCAGGAGGCAGCAGATCAATGATTCTCATCATTGATGTTTCTCTCTCTCTCCCCCTCCCTTCCTCTCTGAAATCAATAAAAATATATTAAAAAAAATAGAGAGTGGGAGGATGCAGCGTGGACAACAGCAGTAACCAGCATTTTCATTTTCCCATCAGTCATCTTATTTGGTTCTCAGGGTGGGGCTGCGAAGTGAGGAGGACAGATAAGAGGATCACTGTTGTGTTCCCCAATCTGCAAATGAGGAGGATGAGTCTCACAAAGGTGAAGTGACTTTCCCAAAGGCACACAGATCACAAACAATCAAACCTGGCTGCACCCAGGCGCCCTGATGGAAATCACAAGCCCGGTGCATGATGCACGCCCTCTCTCCCACCCTCTCTCCACCGGCCACCCGATCAGGTCACTCTGGCTCCCAAAACTCCAGGAGCTGCACTGCCCGCCAAAGGCAGGGCTCCTGGGGGTGGTTTTCCTAGCCTCCCCCAATCTGGTCCCTTTCCAGCCTCTGCCCCAGCATAACCCCTTCCTGAGCTGTACCCACCTCCTTAGACTAGCCCTGGCACTCGGCACGCCCTCTGTTTGGATTCTTAGTCTTTGCACATTCTGTTCCCTCTGCTTGGAATGAATGCCCTTCACATTTCTATCTGCCCATCAAAATCCACTTTACTCAGGACCAGGTCATGGGATCACAGTATGTTGTTGCTGTGTTTTGTTTTTGTTTTTTATCAGTCCATGTTGCGTTTCATGGGGGATAGGGGATCTGGGCACAGGAGGCAAAAGTTAAACAGACATTCTCACTTTTATGAGTTCGCTCAGGGCTGATTGAATAAGAACAAGTACCACTTGTTGTTGCTGCTGTTGTTTTTGAATAATGTTGGGCCCTGTACTAAGAAACTGTAAGTGAATTAGCTCAGTTCAAACAATAACCATGTAAGGCAGGCATTGTTTTCATCCTCATCATCTCTTTTCCAGGTGAGAAAACTGATGGTTGGAGAGGTGGTCACTTGCCTAGAGTCACACGATGACAACTAACACGTGTTCAGAACTTTCTGTGTGCTTGCACCGCGACAGCAAAACTCACTTAATCCTTACCACACCCAAATGGAGTGGGTGACTCCACTTTACAGAAAACCAAGGCACAACATTTAAGTAAGTGCTCAACATCATATAGTTGTCATAGTCATAAGGACAGGGGCCAGGATTTAAACCCAGGTCCTCTGGCACCGGAGCCATACACCTGACCATCACTCTGTTACTAGTCTCTAGGGAGCAGGCCTGCAGATCTGTC